GCCCTGCAGCCCCGAGGCCCCGCCCTCCCCGCCTGCGACCCCTCGAGTGACTGCTGAGGTTGCGCCGCCCACGCCCGTCCCCTCCACAGCCACCGGGCTCGGTCTCCCTTTGCTCCCGCCTTTCTGCCAGCAGAGGGGTACATGTCGCCCCCCCCACCCCCTTCAGGGTGTCGCCGGGCCTCCTGGAGACTGAGTCCCAAGTGTTCCTCCACTGTCCTTTCCTCTTCCTACCCAGGTTTACTTCTGGCCTTCCTCTTCTCTCTGCTAGAATCACCTTCTAGCTGATTCTCTCTGCACCTCAGATCCACACACGCACCCTCCTCCCATCCTTCTCCCCGTCTTCCATGTTGGGTGAAAGCCTCTGCATCTAAGGACTTCCCAGCCCCTCCTCCACCATTCTCCTGGAGAGAATCTGTGTGCCAGACGTTCATTCCCTTACGGTTACCCAGCACCTGCTGAGCCCCTGGCCCCATTCTAAGAGCTGGATCCTTCTTGTCCTCAAGGAGGGCACCTTCTAGGAACCATGTTTTCTTTCCTTAACTGACTTCGCTTGGTCACATCTCTGTGCTTTTGCCCAAAGTGCCTATCACCCTCTGCATTTGGTGCCTTGCCACTTGGGCAGTTCAAGCACCTCCTCCTCCAGGAAGCCTTCCCTGACCAAATTTTTTTCCATAGCAGAAAGAGGCTCATGTCTTATGTCACATTTGCATAAGACAAAACCTGGATTGACGTTCCAGGTCTGCTCTCCATCCAACACTGTTACTTTGACCAGTCACTTACCTGCCTCAGTCTTCGTTTCCGCATTTGTTTAAACAAAAAATTGGAGAGGGGGAGGGAAATAACACCTATTTCATGGACTGGTTGGAAGGCTCAGTTGCTGGTTCCTTGAGTATCCTGGATAGACCAGGTCTAGGCTTGGTGTTCCTCTGTGGGGGTCTTCATATTTGTTTCCTGTAGGATACCAATCAAGTGTAATTCCTCAAGTCCAAGGACCAAGCTAGAATCCTACTCGTGAGCCACTGTGCAGAGGGGATTTGAGTCTGTGGCCTGAGCCCAAGCTGTCCTTCTTCTCCATATACTACCCGGCTTGAGCAGCTGCACCTGGAACCTCAGGGCCTTTCTTCACAGAGGCACCCGAAGAGTCTTTCCACAGAACATTTCCCAGCATGTCATCCTTAAGAAGACCCAAATGTTTAGTTTCTCAACTCTCCAAAATCTGTCTCCTTTCCCATCTCCAAGTCTTCAGGACTCAAGTGTCAACTAGACTAGAGGCTTGAGGCTTAGCTGACAGCTTGTCCACTTCTAAAGCTTCCTGGCCTCCCTCCTCTCTCTCCTCGATCAAGCCTCCCTTCTTGTAAAGAATTTGGCTTCTGGATCAATCACTGGGTGGGGTTTTGGCTTTGTAGACTAACCTCTCTTGGCTCTGACAACCTGACTTCCATCCATCCTGATGAACCATTTAGTTCTTGAACCATTTTCCTGTGCACTTGGCTTTGGTTTATTAGTATGTTTTCTCTGCTGGGGTTAACACATCTGACACCACAGTGCTGGGTAAATGGGATCCTCAACCTGTTCTCCCTCCCCGATGTCACCCCCTGCAGAGCACTTGCCCAGAGCCTCCTGTATGGGAAGCAGATTGGAATCCCATGGCTTTTTAATTTTTTTTTAATAAAATAAAAAGCCAGGCTTGGTGCCTCAGCCTGTAATCCCGCGCCTTTGGGAGGCTGAGGTGAGTGGAT